GGGGAGCCGGCTCTGGGCGGAACGCGAGGGGTTAACGGGAACTCTGTGCCCCCTCCCCATCCCACCCCCCAAAATCAGATGGGCTTTTAAAATAAAAGTTTCCAGAGCGGACCTGCTGCAGGGCTGGGGGCTCGCTGGGAATATTCCCAGGCCCCGCCGCCCCGGCCAGGAACCTCCGGGACGGGAATAAAAGTTTGCAGAAGTGCCCCAGGTTGAGATAAGAGGGGTGCAGGGCCCGCTCTCTAGCCCCCCAATCAGGATGACTTTTAAGAATAAAAATCCAGGCGTTGCTTTCATGTGAAATGCCCGTGAACCAACTAGTTCTACCTACCCCTGCCAGATTTTTTTTTTAAATCATATGTTATTTTGAAGTTTTAAAAACTGGCCCTATTGTAAGACGAGAGGGGGTCGAAGGTAGAGAAGGGGGAGCCCCTTCCCCAATATTCCCCATCCCATTGGTATAGAAGAGAAAAACTTGGAAAAGTGCTTCTATGTCAACCTTTTAGGTGAAGGAGGACCTATCTTTGCGACATCCGAAAAAATCAGATTTTTTTTTTTTTTAATTGGTGAAACTGCCTCCTAATGATTTAGGGAGGCTTAAAGAGATTTTCTGTTTTTCTGTCCTCTTCTTCTCCTTCCCCGCAAAATCAGATTTTTAAAAAATGTAAATTGTGAAGGGCCTGCCCTAGGTAGAGACCAGGGTTACTGGATCCTTCCTACACCTCGCACAACTGATTGAATTTTAGGAAGAAAGTGGAGGAATTGCTCATCTAGGAGACAAGGAATCAACCAAAAATCTGTCTTTACCCTTCCTCAAGAGAAAACAATAAGCATACTTTTTAAAAATAAAAACATCAGAAACTAAGAGTAAACAGGTGTCTTTTCTCTATCCCCCACCTTAAAAAAAAAATCAAATGTTCTTTTTTCATGTTTAAACAACTAGATCAGTATGAGACAGGAAGGGTTACAGAACTGTTTCCCCTTCAACTCCGCTCCCCAAGGTTATTGTTTGGTAAGTACCCCTCTCCCAGAAGAATTCATGTGTGGGAATTGGGCCCAACTTGGGAGGAATGGAATCAAGAAACACAACTCTCACACCCCTGCCAACAAACACCAGCGCCCCCCCACACACACAAACACACACACACACACAAGCAGTTGAGAAGAATTGTCTAACCACTTCCCCCAAACCGCCCCCCCCCCCAAAAGTTGGAGATTCGTCAAAAATAAAAAGTGGCCGTTTCTCTTCCCACCAGCCTGGCAAGCATGTCCCTGGCAGAGATGCGGCAGCCTCTGCCAAGCCGAGTGTGGATTAGGCGTTGAGGGGCGCAGGCAGCCTGAGGAGTGTGGCAGAGTTGGGCGCCCAGGAGCCCTGGGCCTAAGTGCTGCCAGATAGCCCCTCCCTGCCTGCCTCTCATCCACCAGGGCTGGGGGCCTTGATGCCTGGGGAGATGTCCTGATTCCATCAGGGCAGGCTCCTTCTTCTGCCTAAGCCAAGCCTGAAACTTAGGAGTAGAGAGGAACTGGACCCAAAATAACACACAGTGCCTCAGTCACCATGGCCAAGAGCTGTAGAGAGGGTACCAAGGGAAAAAAATCCCACCCTGGGAGTCAGGAAAACTTAACGCAATAAATATTCTTTGAGCACTTAGTATGTGCCAGAGTGTGGTATCCAGTAGGGCGGACACACTGTAAAGAACACAGCAGCATGCAGTAGCCCTTCTAAACCTGAGCCATCCACGGATGACCAGGAGGATCTGCTGGTCCCACCCAGCAGTTTCTAATTTGTTTTGTCTGGGTTAGGGACCTAGAATCTGGATGTCTGACAAATTCCCTGGTGATGCTGCTGGTTCGAGGACTACCCTCTGTAAACCACTGCAATACACCAGCCACAGAAAACAGTACAGCTGAGGGAGGAAGAGGAAGGAGTCCATCCACCCAGGGGGTCAGCGAAGAGTCCAAGAAGAATAACACTCTGCAAGACTTAGAGAGACGGCAGGGTCTCTGTATAGCAGGGATTCTTAGACAAGGTCCTTGGATAGATTTGATAGCCCATAAACACCCTTCAGCAAATCAGCGTCTACCTGTGCATTTGGGGGAGAACATCTCTGATTTTCACCAGTTTCTCAAGAGGGTTCAGTCCTCAAAAGGGTTTCTCAAAAGGCCCCTAACCTGGAATGATCTGCAGCCTGTCTCCAGTCACATCAGGCCAGTAAAATCGGATGGTCCTTCTCAGCCATGGCTTTCTGGATCATTGCAAGTGCTTTCTGCAAGTCCCATTGCCGTGGGCTATGCCTGCTCAGTGACGGAGCAGGCTTCAGCCTTGGCCCAATGACCACTGGAAGGCCGAAACTCACACTGTTCCATCGGTAGTCCAGTAGGGTCCTCCAGAGTCTCTTCTAACTTTTGAGGGTCTGTGGTTCGATTTGGCATACCTGGGTTTGTCAAATTCTGGAAACTTCAGAGCCTTCCACACCCAGCCCGCTACCCCCAGCACCTACACAGCATCATTTTTGAGAACCCAGCCTGTGGAGTCAAACGAGGGTTCAGCCGTGGCTCTGGTCTCCCTCTGTGATTCAAGTGACAGCTTCTCCTCACCTCCACTTCCTCGTCTGTGAAATGGTGTTGACGGCACTTCCTGCCTCACAGGGGTGCACTGAAGATTAAGTGAGGACCGCGTGCTAAGTCTCTAGAAAGTGTCTCGCACAGAGAGAGCACTCCACACCTGTCATCCAGCAGAACGCTGCCTCTCACGAGCTGTGTGATCCTGGCCTCCTGGCTTCATCTCTGAACCTAAAATCTGCCAGTCTCATCAGCTTTCCCAGTTGTAGTCAGTGGAAATAAAATCACACTAAACTAAACAAGAAAAGAAACAAGAAAGATGGTATTTTATTAAGTCAGGGGGTAGATCCTGAGAGGCACTGCCGAGGGGAGGGAAGGGTGTGGTGGCTGGGCAGACCTCTATGGGCACTCATTAGGGTCAGGGACGGAAGGTGCCAGAGCTTGACACACAGACCCACTTCAAATCTGGCATCACCAGGGGAAACCAGGGTTGAGGACGCTGATGTCCTCGGGGTGAGGAGCAGATGTCAAGCCTGTGTCACAGGCAGGTGGGTTGGGAGACTGAGTTGCCCCCAAAGAGGCCACACCTGGGGTCTTGGCTAAAACCTGGCGGTGCACTTTGTTAGAAAAGATGGGCTTAAAGGAGGCTTCGTGGTGTGGGACAGATTGAAAGCTGGGACTTTGCAACACAGTGTCTTCTGTGAGCTAAGAGGTTTTTATTTTTTAGACTAAAAAAAAATGAGAGAAGTGCTCTTTTTCAACAGCCCTGCCAAGGAAACCAGGGCCCCCCAAACTTCGCACAATCCTGTCAATCCTAAGAGATTCCGTAGCAGGATTTTCTCACCTCTATAAGGCGAACAGAGGAGGTACACTCACCCCCAGTTTAAGGGCGAGAAATTTGAGGCTTAAGGCCCTGGGCCAAACCAGTAAGTGGCAGCCCAACTGCCTCCCCGCAGTGTCCTCCCCCCCCCCCCCCGCCCCGGGGTCCCAGCTGCCTCCATGAAACTTTCTAGTGATCGTAATAAAAATCAATCGATTCGTCACATCATTTTTGCTCAAGAATTTCTTTCTTTCCCTCCCTCTCCTTCCCTATTTCACAAAGGGAGACACTGGGAAAGGGCCAGATCAACCAAAGCAATTTGTTTCCCCAAGAGGGGAGAATCCCTGCCAATCATGGGGAAATCTGTGGAGAGGCAGGGACCTGAGGCCTGGGAGGTCTCTCAGGAAAGTGAGCCCAGGAGGACACGTCAGAAGGAAGGAGGAAGCCAGGCCGGAGACCTGCAGACAGAAGGGGCAGTCGACCTGGAGTCCAGACCAGGCACCAGAATGAGGCCTGCTCTGAGCAGCTGCCCGGGGCTCAGCCACACAGGTCTGTCTAAAAGGCATGGTGTGTTTCAAGGACCCCCTTCCCACGCAGGCTGCTATCCTGTGAAGCCCAACCAACGTCCAGCATCCTGAGGACAATCTCCTCTAGGATCTGCAGTTGGACCTGTGTAGGTCACTCCCCCAACAGTCACCAGATTTTGCCTCAGTTTTCTTATCTGGGAAAAATAAGGTGCCCACCCTTACATAAGGCTCAATTCATGTTATGCACTCTGCACAGTGTACTCCCAGCCGTCTCCACTTTCACATACCTAAAGAAATCTGGGTCCCAGGTAGGGTGGGGTGGCGTCACCTCCGTGAGCAGGGATAGCCAGCCACAAAGGGAACGAACGAAGTCAGCTCTGAGGGCAGCTGCCCATGTCCAGCAGCCGTTCCCTCACTATGGCAGTTACCCTGATTCTAGTTCTGCTGAGACCAGAGGTGGGCCCAGGACCTGGGGAAGAAGGAAGAGCCATGAAGATGGCAGGGGCTGCTCCAGGAAGATTTCTCCCACGTCATCTGCAGGCCCCCCAAAGAGGCTTCAGTCTACTCTCTCTGCTTTGGGACACACGTGAGTGGATTAGCTGACAGTATGGCATGGGATGCGATTCAGGCTCTGCTCAAATCCAACTGGCTCAAACCCCAGCTCGGCCCTCTCCA